TATGGGGTCAATGGGGTTAGTGGGTCAGTGGGGTCAGTGGGGTCAATGGGGACACAATGGGGTCAATGGAGACATTGGGGTCAGTGGGAGCTTTGGGGTCAATGAGGGCTTTGGGGTTAATGGGGTCAATGGGGACATCGGGATTAATGGGGTCAATGGGGGCTTTGGGGTCAATGGGGACATTGGGGTCAGTGGGGGCTTTGGGGTCAGTGGAGTCTATGGGGTCAATGGGGACACATTGGGGTCAATGGGGTCAGTGGGTCAATGGGGTCAAAGGGGTCAATGGGGTCAGTGGGGTCAATGGGGCTTTGGGCTCAATGGGGTCAATGGGGGCAATGGGGACATTGGGGTGAATGGGGACACTGGGGGTCAATGGTCAACTGGTGACAACTAGTGGCAACTGGTAGCCAATGGGATGAACTGGTGGCAACTGGTGGCCAATGGGAGGCAACTGGTGGCCGACTAGAGCAACTGGTGGCAACTGGTGGCCAATGGGGTCAACTGGCGGCCAACTGGAGCATCTGGTGTCCAACTGGAGGTAACTGGTGGCAACTGGTGGCCAATGGGAGGCAACTGGTGGCAACTGGTGGCCAATGGGGTCAACTGGTGGACAATGTGAGGTAACTGGTGGCAACTGGTGGCCAGGGGAGGCAACTGGTGGACAATGTGAGGTAACTGGTGGCAACTGGTGGCCAAGGGAGGCAACTGGTGGCAAATGGTGGCCAACAGGGAGCAACTGATGGCAACTGGGGTAACTGGTGTCAACGGGAGGCCAATGGGGGCAACTGGTGGCCGATGGGATCAATGGTGGCCAACTGGAGCAACCAGTGGCCAATGGGAGCAACTGGTGGCAACTGGTGGAAAATGGGAGCAACTGGTGGCCAACTGGAGCAACTCGTGTCAACTGGTGGCCAATGGGAGCAACTGGTGGCAACTGGTGGCCAACTGGAGCAACTGGTGGCCAACTGGAGCAACTGGTGGCAACTGGTGGCCAATGGGGTCAACTAGTGGCCAGCTGGAGCAACTGGTGGCAACTGAAGCAACTGGTGGCCAACTGGAGCAACCAGTGGCAACTGGTGGCTGATGGGGTCAATGGTGGCCAACTGGAGCAACTGGTGACAACTGGTGGCCAATGGGATCAACTGGTGGTCAACTAGAGCAACTGGTGGCCAATGGGATCAACTGGTGGTCAACTAGAGCAACTGGTGGCCAATGGGATCAACTGGTGGCCAACTGGAGCAACTGGTGGCCAATGGAAGGCAACTGGTGGCAACTGGTGGCCAATGGGGTCAACTGTTGGCTCCCACTGGGAAGACAGGAGACATTTGGGGCCATTCTGTGTCCCCATTTTGGGGCCATTTTGGGTCTCCTTTGGGGCCACCATTTGGTGGCCATTTTGGGGCCACCATTTTGGGGCCATTTGGGGTCAACTCCGTGTCCCCATTTTGGGTCCAATTCGTGCCATTTTGGGGTCTCCATTGGGGCCACCATTTTGGGGCAAATTTGGGTCATTTTGGGGCCACCATTTTGAGGCAAATTCGGGGCCACCATTTTGGGGCCATTTGGGGTCAACTCTGCGTCCCCATTTTGGGTTCAATTTGCCCCATTTTGGGTCATTTCCCCTCCCCCCATCCCCAATCACGGCGCTCCCCATCATAAAAACCATCCGTCCTTTTAATCGTTACGTCGTTAACGAGGTATCAAAATTAATTGGGGGATTGTAGGGGGGGG